GAACCAAAGGTCGAAACGTTATAAGGAAGATTTAATGATTTAATAAATTAACATTTTGCCCAGTTTGGTCGTCTAAAAATTTTTTTCAAAGAGTTTTATCCTTGTGATTATATTTACTGGCGCTTTACGAAATATTCTTCTTTTCTTATAATTGTAATTCTCTATCAGTCATATTTGCAAAAATCTGTCCGGCATATGAATATTGTAATTTCTATAAGGAATCTTATACGTTATGTTATCCCTCAATTTATTCGGCAGATTGTCTTAATGTATATGGATGAAACGTCGCAATTTATTTATACTCGTATAATTTAAACATAAAAATATTATATATGTAGCGGAATTGCGACCACTCAAGTAAGTGAGATCTATATATATATACAAGGATAGATACCGCAGGCTTATCGGCGGACGATATTCATCTCGGTTTCTTTTACGCACGATCGCGGCGGAGTATACATATCCGCTTATCTCCTGCGGAACTCTATGAAGCGGGTGGTCGATTTATTTGTTTATCGAAAGAAAGGACCGACCAGCGACCGACGGAAATCGGCGACCTTTGATTTTTCAGTATACAAATGACGAGCTCGACGCTCGTCAAGCAGTTCTCAGCTCAGCCTAGTCGAGTAAAGATCGCGTCCCGGTGTAACCCTCGGCCCAAATAAAAAGATATTATACTTATGTTTTACGTTTACCTCGTACCTAAGTTTCCCTTCCTCTTCCTCCCGTAATTATCCCTTACATATACGACTCGTATATAATATTTTCGTGTTTAAATTACGAATCACAGACTTGAATTTTTCTAAGAATATCGGAAAGCAATGTTGAAATAAGCAAAATTGCTTTTGTTTGGTTAAAGAAACTTAAATTTATATTCTTCTTGTTATATAATTTGAATAATGTTGTTAAACGTTTTTATAAAATATTTCGAATATATTATAGATGAAAGCAAGTATCTGATGCTCAACACAAACACGATTTGTTTGATAGAATCTCGAGTAAAAAAAAATAAAAAAACTCTGTCAATTAGACCGATGACGTTGTCTTTTTTTTGATAAAGAGAATGTCAGGATTCAGGAAAATATAAGTATTTTCCTGAACAATAAGTTCGTGAAATCAATCAAATTGTATAAAATTGTATTTAAAATTATTTATTCCTTTTTCCCGCGGACTATAATTTTGAGTGGAACAATTTAAATATAAATTAGAACAATATTGAATAATGGGATGAGAACTGTCAACGTAACGTCATCTACATATTTATAGTAGAACGAACAGATTTATAGGAAAAGCTTCGAATAATTTTTATCCTAATTCTCCAAGTCCTGATGTCGACGATGACTGAAGAGAGTGGAGAGCCCATTGATGTGCTAACTGTCTGTTGATAGAGACATCATTGAGTGTAAAGAATGTAGAGTTCAAATCCGAGCCGGATTGCAATCAAGAACTTGTTCCGCGGAATATAGTGCACTTTTTTCTAGGTAACTCTATCTTTTAATAATAATATAACAGCGCTAGAGAGAGAGAGAGAGGGGGCTGTTTTATTTAATGTTTACTTATGTATGTTTTTGAGAATTTCTCAACTAATTAAAAGTTATTCATGGTTTAGTTGTAGGTAATTTCTGTGCAGAAAAGTGGTCAACGAATATAACAAACTGTTTTTAAACCAAATAATAATTCCAAACAGAGCCTTATATATCTGTGGCATACAATAAGTTCAGTAATTGCATTCTCTCTGCGCAATTAAAGTTTTTGCCTCATCCAGCAACATATTCACGTCCCATTTCGCGAGCAACTCGTGGAGCTCTCTGATGAGTTTTTAGTTCTCTTTTTAGTGCATGTTAATCCTGAAAGAAGAGACGCTCATTTTTTAAAGATATCTCTCTATTTAAAGCTATGGTGATATTACTTTTATCTGCTCTTGTAAAGATCATACCTAGATATAAACTGTATTAATAGCAACATGCCAATAACATATTTGTCCAGTTAAAGTTTTCTCTCTTGAAGAAATTGTCAGAAAGATTGTTAGATGTTACTTGATTAGGAATTGCTGATCTGATGTTTGTAAGAATTTTGTCAATATTATTCTCGCTTTTATAAACTTCAATACAGCTTTATTCCTACATTGTCCTTATGTTAGATAAACAAAAGTTCTCCCCCAATTGCAGGAGTATACTTGAAATATGTGTGGAAAATAAATTGACAAACCATTTAAGCTTGAAAGCAAAAATAAAAGATTAAAAATTTTGAAGATATGGTCAAGGAGGATAATGTCGTAGGAAGAGATAGAGAGAGAAGAAAAGATGGGTTTAAATTCATTGATCACCGCTAATATTCTCGGACGCGAAAATAGAAATATATTTATATCAATATATTTTGTCTCGAATAATATTATTCGGGAAATCAACTAATGCTATTTTATGATTATTTGTTTTGTGGCGTTATATAGAATGGTTTCTCTTTAAATTGATTGTATAATAATTCAAATTACACATTTTAGTAGAAATTAAATAATTATTGATATAAAGCACATCAAAGGAACAATTGTTGACTCTTTAAACTACTCTAAACTATATTTTTCTAAATATTTTACTTTATATATTACATATATATATATATATATATATATATATATATATAAGAATTGTACTAGTTTACTCTAAAAATTATTTTAAACAAGGGCTTCTTATAGATTTTTAGCTGAAAATAAAGCCGCAAATCAAACATTAGCACATTAAATTTTTAAAATAAGAGGTTTAATGTGTAAACTGAGATTTAATGTGTAAAAATAGCTTTTTTGTGATGTTTGAGATTTTTTGTAAGAAAAGTTAACGCTATCTGAAAAGTCTAATCAATTATCGTGAATGTATTGTTCATCTTTTAATATACAATGCATTTTTTTATTTCCATATTTTATATATTAAATAGAGATGTTGCCGAGAATAAAGGATTTTTCGGTAAAAATATTTTTTTCCAAAATCGTTTTTATCATTATTCATTCCCCTTTAGATAAAACAATTTTTGTCCGAAACATTTTTTCAAAAATGCATTTGTTTCAAAAAGTTCAAGGTAGACAATTAAAAAGGGACAGTCTATATATAAACATACATTTATTGTTAATTGTTAGTGGAATCGATTATGATAAGTTACGCTGTGTATGCGCGCGTGTATCGATAATCTTAAACTACAAATGAGTATGATTATGACTTTATAGGCGAAATATTTGCTATTTCAGCAAAATTGTATTTAAATATTTCCTAACAAAAATAACTTTTCTTAAAAAAAGTAAGATATCGAAATAAAAATGCATTTATAGGGAATGCCCTTATAATGAATTTAAACCCATCTTTTCTTTTCTCTCTATCTCTTCCTAGGACATTATCCTCCTTGACCTCCATATCTTCAAAAATTTATCACTAGTAACGCCAATTTATCACTTATTTCAAGTACTTAATCACTTATTTCGAGTACTTAAATTACTATATATCAGTATTTTAAGTATTCGAAATAAGTGATTAATTGGCGTTTCTAGTAATAAATTTTTACAAGAGTGGACAATACATTTATGATATTTGAATAATTTTTAGATAACGTTAATCTTTTTCACAAAAAAATTTCAAATATCAAAAAATACGAATAAGTAAGGCCTAAGAGCCATATGTGGATGTTCCTGCGTACATTTAATGAACAAATTGTGAGGCCGAAAAGACGTTATTTAGAGTATTTATAAGCAGAGAAAAATATAGAATCGAAGGGTCTGAATAGTTCAGTTGGAAGAGCAGTCGCCCGGTAAGCGAAAGGTCTCGGGTTCGATTCCTGATTCAGCGATTTTTGGATCTATATTTTTCTTTCGCATTTATTTATTTTTTTATTTCTTTGGGAGGGTAAGAGGGGTTATAAAATTAAATCTCAGGTATGAGATATTTCATATTATAAAGTCTTGGTATATTTACACCAAGAATAATACGTGTCTTGTGCATAATTTGTTTATTAAATGTACGCAGGAACATCTGCGTATGGCTCTTAGGCCTTACTTATTTGTATTTAATATTAAAAGAATCTTGATATAGTCTTGTTGATTATCAAAAAAGTTATTTTTGCATATTTATTTATATTAAATCTCAATTATACCGGAAACCTGACGTACTAGTAAAAATTGGCTTGTATAGCATCGTTTTCAACATCTAAAAACCTGGTAAAAAATTTTATATGTAATTATATGTAAATAATTACATAATTATATATATAATCTTAAAAAATTATATGTGAAATATTTCCATTTTTATACATAATTATATAAATTTATACATATATAAATTATAAAGGTTCATATATAATTATGTAAAATTATATACATATATTTATATGTATGAAGAAATACTTAAATTATTTTATATATTATATATATAAATTCATATAATTATATATAAAAAACACTTTTATCTAATTATGTATGGACATATTTTATATATAATTTTGCGATTATATGTGTATAACTTTATATATTTCTATATAATTTTATATTGTTATATATAAAAAATTTTTTACCGGAAATTTATAAGAAGCAATCTTTTTGGATTTAAAATAATGAAAAAAAAATTTTTTTAATTAGTGTTATTTTATATAACAATTTATTGATTCTATACGCATTACTACATAATTGCATTTAACGAATTATATGTAAAATATGTTATCATTCTTGAAAAATATAAAAAAAGATTATGTCAAGGAAATTACATTAGAGAGGGAAAGAAAGAATTATGCAGCGATAATTTGCAGTAAATCATGAAATCAAAACGCTTGACAAACAATAAAGTTTGGTAAAACATCCGGTCGTGTATTAAACGCGAAATCGATATGTTCATATTGAACAGACTCGTCTGTAGCGAGGTCAGTCATACAGCTGAATTCTCTCAACTCGACTTGAATCAGTAATTGACAGTTGGAGAACGACAGCGTGTTTAGACAGCATCATTACGCTCATCACGTCAGTTGCGAAAATGACATCGACATTAGCTTCCGAAATCATTGACGATAATAGAAAGTATTATTGGAATCAGCACATCGCTGCTTTTGTAGGTAAATATATGGACAATATTTTCTTTTGAAAATTATTTTAACAGACATTAAATATTACAATAATAAATATGAGTAAATATTACAACAATAATTAAACAAGGGATTAAATAAGAGACAATAGTAAAAATAATTATTCTTTTACGTCAAAATCAAAACTATGTATACTGAATTTTAAATTCTTTCAGCTTTTTGCGATAATTTATTTTATAAATTTACAAAGATAGAATTTAAATTTTATATTATCTGAAACTAATTATGTATTAATTTAATAGTTCAAAATAATTATGCAGTACGGCTTAATTTTAATTGATTTATTACCACAATATGTTGCCGTTTATTTTTCGAATATTAAGTTGACAAGAACAATTTTTCTTTAAAATAAATAAAGAATTATCATATGCTTAAGTCAAACAAATGTCTTGGTTGATAATTAGTAAATTAAGCAGTATAATGGAATTAAATCCACAATGAGTAAGCTCGGAAAATAATAAATGAGAAGTAGTTGGCCATAGCAATTCAAACAATATATCGCAACTAACAATGTAATAAAATGCGTCCACATAGTTTATAACTAACAATAAGTTAAAATAATCACATAAATTATTACACAGAACGCAAAATCAATCGAAATAAAGGTTAATTACTCATGTAAAATTAAATTTAAAAAATAAATTCCTTCTATGCAAAACATTTATTTAAAAAAAGTCGGCTTTAAAAATAGAAAAATTGATAATATATGTATTTACAGGTTTTTAAATTTGAATTGTGTCTAACAATATTGTATCATCAAATCCATCTCAATGCAGCATCTATTACTTAATATATAAATAGAAAGTACATATTATATTTAAAAAATAATAAATTATGGTATATAATTAATAAATATACATTAATAAATAATTATATATTAATAAAACAATTTAAGATAATTTAAATTATTGAAGAAGTTATGTGTATATACAGTTACAATTACTTTGCTCTTTTAATTAATAAAGAAAAAGAGAGAAAAAGTGAAAGAAAGAAATTGATCGATCTTTATTAAACTCTTTCTTATCTATTTATAATGTAAATCTAATTTATAATATATTCTTTTAACATTTGTTTAAACTGCTCAATTTTTCACATTGTTTTATCTCAATTAAAGCATTATACTTTTTTGTTCTTTTGTAAAACGTACTCTTTTGTGTACTTGTAATTTTACAAAATTACAATAATGTCTCCGGTTTGTCGTGTTTGTTTTTTCACGTTTCCACCTTGAAATAGGTAGGTAGGTTACGTAACCTGTTTCTTAATTGTTTTGTAATCTATTTCTTAATTGCTCTGATAACAGGTTCTTTAAAATTCTAAAAATAAATATATACTTTATCATTGACGGATCTTGTGAAAAGGGGGGTTACTTCTAATCTAACCTAATCTACTCCCGCCCTTTCAAAATTGAAAGAAATAATTATAATCCGATTTGCAAAAATACTTTCACTATTAAACCAAATAATTTTATAGAAACCTTTTTCATTATTGACTTCAGAATATGCGCTAATTATAATTACTGTAATATTTTTTATAGTACATCTCTCTGTCTTATAAACATAACATAACCCAATAAGAAATGATTGGTCGAATCGTCATCGATTCAACATCGATTCGACGAATTTGACATCGATTCGACAACGAATTGACGTCGATTTGATCATAATTTCTCACTGGAAAACTGATCTTGCAACATATGCAAGGTGTTCCAAAATTATGGGACACTACTGTTAATAGGGAGATTCCTAAGATTGAGACACCCTGTATACACTTTGATACGTCTCACATTGATAATATAACTCTTATGACCTGATTTTAGCTTAGCAATGTACTCAGCTATTTCTCATATTACTGACAGCGTTACATAATATATTCAAAGTAAGGTGCTATATGATTGGTTTTATACACAGTGTTCTATTCTAAAAATATATTGCTATTATCTAAATCATTTTGTCGAAAAATGTTTCATATATATATATATAAAATGTTCCATCTGGAATAAGACTATGCTTATGATTATAGATATATATGTATATGTATATCAAATGTTTCCATCTGGAATAAGACTATGCTTATAATTAGATGATCTTCCTCGAAACCCTACGTATAAAACATTTTTCGACGAAAGCCTTGGTTTTCGAAAAATAGCAATGTATTTTAGAATAGAAATTTTATATGTATATATATATATATAAATATATATATATATATAATTTCTAAATTATTTCTTTTTTAAACAAAATTATCATAATTTTCTTACATAAGCAGTTTCCTCATAACATTTGGCATAAAAATTGTTAAAATAACGAGATATTTTATGCTTTATTCTAACACATTTTGACAAAAAGAATCAATTAAAACATCGTTTCCAACATCCAAAAAATGATAAAAGCATCTTGTCTGGTTTAAAATAATGAAAAACAGAATTTTTTGTAAACTAGTATAATCGTTGGTTTTAGAATATTTTTTAAGAATATTTTGAAAAAATAATATATATATATATATATATATATATACCTTTTTATCTAAAGCAAATTTGGAATTTTCGAAAATATGCCAATAAGATGTATCGGCAATATAGTTTATTTAATTTATTAAAGTTAACACGCAACAAATTAATAATATATATCCCTTTGTTTATAAATTTAGCCTCTCTCGGCGGTTTCGCTCTCGGTGTTACGCTCGGTTGGAATTCTAGCGCAGCAGAGGTCCTTCGAAATATCTTGAATGCTAGCAATATCGAGATCGGTTTTGTCGGTAGTAGCTTGAACGTTGGTGCTTGCATCGGTATAATATTCGTATCTTTTCTTATGAGATACCTCAGCCGTACCACAATCATATTCTTAACTATACCAGGATTTATCATCGGGTGGACGTTTATCTGCTTCGCCGGCAAGAAAGTATGCTTTTACACTATATCGCACTGTTAAAGCTTAAATTTTGTCGAAATGTCATTTACACATAATAAATTGCACGAGATTAAAGCGTTCTTTGTCACTGAAGGAATCTCAAAGCGTGAAGCGCAAATTTTACTTTGCCTCATTATTGAATCTAATTTTAACGTCAGTCAAATTAGCTCAAATATTGAAGACAATCTTGATGTAAAAACAGAATATTTTATTCAATTTTAAATAAAAAAACGTACAAGTATAATCATTACGTATATAAGTTGTTTTGACACGAAATAGATTAACTTGGTCAGTATATTTGAATAATTATTCGAACAATAGCATAAAATATAATATACACACAATAATGAACAAAAATTAATAGCAAATAAGAGCAATAATTTAAACTTTATTCGATTAAATCTTTACATATTATTCTTAAAGTAAATATATCTAATATAAACTCTAACTATTATTTGTACGTTTCAAAGTTAAAAACAAGAATAACAGAACACAAATCAAATATTAGATGGAACAATAGTAACAATTCGGTCATTACTAACCACAGATTAGAAAACAACCACGACTTTGATTGGGAAAATATTGATATTCTTGATAAAGAAATATATTATAAAAAAAGATTAACATCTGAAATGATTTTTATTAAAAGGCAAATAAATAGTATTAATTTGCAAACAGATACGGAATGTCTTAACACCACATATTTAAATATCAAAGACAAACTGCCTAAAATTTGAAATCATACAGTTACACGTCATGTTTTGTCTGGATTATATATTGAGTGGTAAACAGATAAGGACCGTCAGTCGTTTGAAAGATCTCAATAGTCACAGAATCATATAACAGTGTGAAACGTTATTAATTAAAAGTGTATATCACCAATATATAATAGCGTTTTCGATTGGGGTGCACTGGCTGCACTAAATGTCAGGCGCGTGTTCGATTGGTAGTGCCAATGCGCACTTGACTAGTGTTGCGTGTTCGTTTGAACGCACAACACTCGCATAGTGCGCACTCAGTGCGCACTAAGTGGCACGAGATATTTTGACGGTGCCAGTTCAGTGCACTGGATGCATGCAAGCAGTAGGGCATTCTTTTGAACGAAAATTCGACATAATGAGCAATTCGGATTTGGCTCTCTTTAATATTTTGGAGACATTTTTGGAATCTTCTTCTAGTTCAAGCGAGCAAGAAGAAATAATTACAACTCTTCGAACTAGAAGAATAATTCCAAAAACTGTAAATTATGTAGAATGTGTGAAAAAAATGGATAATGACACCATAAGTGTTATATCTTTTTATATAAACATCGAATCTATACCTTTTTTTAAATATAATTAATGTACTTAATGTAATAGCATTTTTATACTGAATAATAATAATTTTTATATTTGTCATACGTGATATTCTTGATCATCTTCTATATTTAATTACATATAATAAAAATCATTACTTAACTGAACACAAGATGTCGAGGTTACTTTTTCGTTCTTCCCGGAATCTAGTCAACTCAAGTGGCACTGAAAATTTCGGCGTGTTCTTTTTCACCTGCACTATTCAGTGCAACCCATGGAACTTGTCCAGTGTTCGTGTGAACTGAGTGCGCACTGGTGCGCACTAACTTTTTCCCAATCGAAAACGCTATAAGTCACAACTTTTCAATATATAATTTTAATTGGAGGAGAAAAAAATTTTTTAAGGTAATTTTATTTCATCTTAGATAAACAACTGATGATCATTTTATGTCAGTACATGTTGCGAATTTTTCCTGGCCAATCAACCAAGGGAACGTTTTATCACATGTATTAAATTATATTTTTTATGCTTCTCATTGTATTAACTTGATTTTAACCATTTGACACATAATGTATTTTGCAAGTCTAAATTTCCGACACATCAAATGTACTTGACATTTTATAGACTATCTTGTTTGACGTTGTTATATGAATATTTTTTAACCGATCTATTGTAAACACTCAATGTGTATTATATTTATATGTATTTATTTTATTTATGCTGAAGAGGGTCATAAAGTTGACCAAAACGTATAAATAGTTAGAGTTTATATTAGATATATTTACATTAGGAATAATATGTAGAGATTTAATTGAATAAAGTTTAAATTATTGCTCTTATTTGCCATTAATTTTTGTTCATTATTGTATTTATTTAAAGAGCTTGAAATTGATATAGTTATTATATAATATACACATTAAATTAAATGAAGTCTCTGAATGAAAGCTATCTAATCACTACATAATAATCTGTTAATTTATTGATCTAAACTGCAATTGCATTGAAATCAATATACTAATACTACTAGCAGAATTGCGCACCTTTCACAGATATCCTTCAAATTATCGTGTATGAGTACAGTTTGAACAATACCTATCAAAGGTGTAGAATTCCAGAATAGTGTCAGTGTACTGATTTCAATGTAATTACAATGTAATCAATAAATTAACAGATTATTATGGTCAGATAGCTTTCATTCTGCGACTCCGTACAACAAAATATCTATATCTCGGGAACAAAGTAGAATTTACCCATAGTGCATATTACATTTTTTGCTTAGAATAACCATTCGAATACGTTGCTGAAGTTTGTCAGATTCACGACCGAACATTATATGTATAATGTTGTGTTTAGATGATTTTAAAATTAGCTATTTAAAAATAAGGTAAAAATATGTAAATTTATTTTATTGTTAGATAAGATGAAGATGATTTTATTTTGAATATATTTAGATAAAAGATAAAATTATATGGCGATTTATCTAGATAATTATTTCCAGATAATTTTATTTTTAAGACCGGTTATGTAAACACAGTTATAAAAAATGTAAATTATAAAAAAGATATAAAAATATATTAATATTTTTATGTGCAATGACTCTAAACCAAATTATGTAAATATTATTCTGGATAACTTAGTAAAAATAATACTTGTTTTTAACTAATAAGATGCAGCTATAGACCATACATATTTCTATCTATATGTATAAAGATAAGCCAAAATTTCATCTAGATGATCATCTATATAATTTTATATCTACGAGGTGTGTTCAAAAAGTATCGCGAATTTTGAATTTCCGCGGGTTACGTATATTCGATTTTCGATTTTTTTGTGGCGTTATGTTGGTACTCATGTTTCTCATTTATGCCGACAAGTACGGCCATTTTGAATGTTCAGTTAATTTTTGACAGCTGCTTTGCTTGCACGTGTTTTGGCTCGTCTTCGATTTTTGCCTATTCCAAAAAATGGATCAAAGAATCTGTATCAAATTTTGTGTGAAAAACAAAATTAAGTGCGCGGACGCATTCCGAATGTTGACTGTGGCATATGGTAAAGCTACCTTGGACCGAAGCAACGTTTATCGGTGGTACAAAATGTTTTCCGAGGGCCGAGAAGATGTGAACGACGAAGAGCGTGCCGGACGCCCGAGCACGTCAACAACAGACGAAAACATTGATGAAGTGAAGAAAATAGTATTGGTCAATCGTCGAATCACCGTTAGAGAAGTTGCTGAGGACCTAAACATATCGATTGGCTCGTGCCATTCGATTTTTACCAATGATTTGGGCATGACACGGGTCGCCGCGAAATTCGTACCAAAATTGCTCAATTTTTGGCCAAAAACAACACACTAATAATGCCGCAGCCACCGTATTCCCCAGATCTGGCCCCCTGTGACTTTTTCTTGTTCCCGAAACTGAAGAGGCCCATGAAAGGACGACGCTACGCTACGATTGAGGAGATAAAGACGGCATCGAAGGAGGAGCTGAACAAGATCACAAAAAATGATTTTTTGAAGTGCTTCGAGGATTGGAAAAAACGTTGGCACAAGTGTATAATATCTGGTGGGGATTACTTTGAAGGGGACAAAATAGATATTCATGAATAAATAAATAATTTTTGAAAAAACACAAAGTTCGCGATACTTTTTGAACACACCTCGTATAACAACGATTATTTAGATATAATTTTATTTAGATAACAGCAAACACTAACTATATGTATGTAATATAACTTTTGACAAATATGTTATCAATATCAATTAAATATTTTCACAGATTTTGCTTCTTATAATCGGTCGGTTGATATGTGGTGTGAATGGTGGAATATTCTGCATTCTGATTCCGATTTTTATCGCGGAAATAGCAGATAAAAATTCAAGAGAACAACTTCTTATGTATTTTCATCTCTTGATCAACTGTGGAATTATGTATGCTTTTGTAGTCGCCTATATATTAGATGAATACGATGCTATATGGAGGTACTTGCAATATTAGCGATGTATAACATTTTTTTTTATAAATTTAATTATAATACTCAAATGATAATTAATGACTAAGAAAAGTACACTTGAAGCCGTGTAATATTTTTTAAATGTCTTCAGAAAATTAATTCTTGAAAATAATATATCATACATATTTCTTCTAATATCACCAATTTCTAATACAATATTTCTTCTAATATTACCAACTTCTAATACGATTAGATGCAATCAGATATTTTTCTTTTTAAATTTTTTTCAGGGAAAGAGAAATATAAAAACATCTTAAATTAAAATTTTATAATTATTAATATTAATAATTGATATTAAAATATCTAAAATATATTGTTATATATATATTGTTAATATAAATCTCATCGCATATTTTATGTTAATCTTAATAAATCATATGAAGTATAAAAGTAAAATTAGGATACTATTTCAAAGAAATTTATGAAATGGTCAATAACGTATAAAATAATTAGATATAGCTTTATCTGCGCTGTAACGTGCCTCGCAATTGCATTAATAAAGATAGTGCCTGAAAGCCCTCTATATCATCTTATTAAGAACAACGAAATTAAGGCTAAGGATTCTTTAAAATGGTACCGTGACCGAGCTTACGATGACGTCGAAATGGAAGAATTAAAATATCTTGCTGTTATAAGCCATACGAAAAAGGTAAAATCTTAATTTTTTATTGTAAGTATTAATCAAGAATAATCAAACGAATATTATGTCTACAATATTATCCACATATACAGATATGAAACTGTATTACTACACTACCGTTAAAAAGTATTTGTTCACCTAGGATAGTTTGTTGAAATGACTATAAATTAATAAAAAATTAATATTTATTTATGATAATCTGAAATTTGATTTTAACATAAAAAAATATAGAGAAATTCAAATTTTGGATTTGTCTATGTGTTCGCCTTTTATAACAGTTTCACAAAGCTTTGGTAGTCTTTTTATATACATTTTTCTAAAATTTCTGTGAATATTTTTTGCACTCGTGTTGTAGTATGTGGAATAAAACATTTCTAACTGTATCTAGTTCACAGTGACTCTATAGGCTACAGATAAAAACAACTATGAGTTTTGTTTACACCAATTGATTCTTTTTATTACTTTGTGCATAAAAATATTGAAGTAACATCGTCGAAAAATGAAAATATTTACGAGATATTTTATTATGTAATAACAATAAATAATATTTAATCGCCAGTAGAGAATTCAAAATTTAGGTTGATATTTTCTTCGACCAAAAACCGGCATGTAATTTGGATGTTCCTTTATTAATTAAAATACGTTTCAACCATTAAATTTTTGGTCCTTATTAAGGATTATTATTAAAAAGTACGTATTATATATTCTTATATTCCGTTTTGCGTAATTAACTTTGGCGTCGCTAATTTTTTTGTAAAATTTTTTGTAATTTTCTATTGATTGTAGCACTTGATAAAACCTAAAAACTTTAATAGTCGAAACGTTGTGTTTTAATTAATAAAGAAACATTCAAATTACATGCCGGTTTTTGATCGAAGAAAATATCAACTTCAATTTTTTTATTATGTAAAATTATATCAAATTAAAGTGTGTAAACCCCTGTGCACACAATAGAGAAATATATTAAATATTTAGGAGAAAATAGAAATTATTTTAAAATAATAAAACATAGAAGACTCTGATAGGTATAAACGACTCTTATACTAGCTTATTAACTCTTACTAGTCCTTCATATCTGAATTTGTATTTTTATACTAGAGTTCTTTCAATTTTATTATTCTAAAATAATTCTTATTCCTAATATTTTGTCTATTGTGCGCAGGAACTTAAATATTTCTTAAATTATTCACTTCTTATCCATTTTACATTTATAACTTTTAATGCCGAATATTACACGGAATCGATTCGTATAAAAAAATTAAAATAGTTCCATTTAAAAAAATAATAAAAATACACACATAACATGTAAATGATTTTGAAACCCGATTTTCTTTTAGGAAAAAGTCAGTAGCGTGTCATCTTCTTATTTCCCTCTCGAAATCTTACAACTTTTTTTTAAATAAACGAGCTATAAAAGCCAAACGCAGATGTTGTGTTGATTATAACAAAAATTAATTTTTTGTTACAATTAAATAGTTGTGCACAAAGCACGAATTTTTGCTTGGTACACTCTCAAGACTTATTAGGAATTATATATCTCAATTCGAGATTACTTATTCGTGTGTTCTTTTCTGACACCTCTATAGAGAAATAGGCGAAAAAAATATCGGCCAAAAATTAATTTTCACTATAATCAACGCAATCGACGTCCGCGTTCGACTTCTATAGCTCCTATATTTCAAATATATATTTAATATCAAGAAGCCTTTAAAAATTTCTTAATGCTTACAACTTTTGTTAGAAATCTTCTTTGTAAACGGATAAATAACCGTATTAATCGGAGTAATAAATTAAATAGAACATTCTGTATATACGGAAGATTCGAGGAGAATTCTCCGTTTTAACTACTAAAAATATTAGTTATTATTGTTAAAATTTAAGCATGTTAATTAAATTTGTAATATGATATTATATAGAGACATATAAAATTTAGCTACGGTGACTAATTTTTTCCGTGAAATTTTTTAAAAATATATAAAATGCTATTAACATCATTATAAAAAAATAAGATACTATGTTGCAAAAAATATTTTAAAGATTTCTAAAAATATTTGCCTCCCCCTCCTCTTCCTCTCTCTCTCTCTCTCTGTAATTCTTACTATTAAAATAGCCTGATATATTGATATAACCCTATACATAATTGATATAATTTTAAAATAATCTGAAATATAATTTTAAAATAAAAAATGGTTTTACAGGACACAATGAATATCTTAAAAAATCGACATATTGTGCGTTCCTTCTTCACGTGCTTCTTCGCATTCTTGGCTCAGCAATTGAGCGGCATTAATATTATGATCTTTTACTCATTGACGCTTTTCAATGTCGGCGGATCGGGCGATTTAACTGCAAGCGAACAAACCATCGTTATAGGTGGAATACAAATACTGTCTTGTTTCCTAGCTATGAGTTTGGTCAACATAATCGGACGTCGAATATTATTAATTATATCTTCGATGCTTATGGGATTGTTCTTGATGTTGTTAGGTAAACAACTTCTGGATAATTGTAATTTTATGATAATAATTATTTATCAGAGCTATGATAATTATAACAATTAATTCGAAAACATTAATAAGTTTAGGGTAATTATTTATATTAGGGTCGATCTAACCTCACAGATTTTAGACCTTAAGAATAACTTTCAAAAGTAACTTTCAAAAATATTATCTCATATATATAGTTTATTGAAAAGATATACGCATATACAAAATTACTATCATGATTATCATGAACAAATTAATGTTTTTTTAATATTATGATTAATATACTCGTACATATATCTAATATCTCAAGATTAAATAAATCTACTACAAATACGTATTAGAATTTTAATAAATCTTCTCCACTTACACGTTAAATTAAAGAAAAACATTTTTATAGTTTTGTCTTATAAAGTAAAAGCGCGGACGAGGGAAAGACCCTGCTCCTCTCTCTGCATCTTTTCCCTCAAAAAATTCTGACCTAACCTCCCTTAAAACAAATTTAAAATTAGAAATAGGGTTAGGTTAGGTTAGAATGTTTTGGAGTGGAGGTGCAGAAAGATGAACAAAGACCTTTCATTGCTCACACTTTTATTTTGTAATATACATATATATCATATGTTATAATATGTATATAAAGAGTGTCCCTAAAGCTCCTAAATATCAAGGCTATTAAAATCTATGAGGCCCTAAAGTAAATTGAGTAATGGGAATATGATAAAATAGACTAAAATCATTTTTTCTAAAATATATTTGCAGGATGGTTTTATGAATTGAGGGATCAAGATCCAGAATACGATGACATATATTTTTGGATGCCGCCGACTTGGACAACCCTTTTTTTCGTCGCTTTTAATATTGGTGTTGGTCCGATATCGTGGGCATTGCTGGGCGATACTTTTCCAATGCAAATAAAGGAGATTGCTGTTGCGTCCGCAGTTACTTTCAACTGGCTGTTATGTTTAATAGCAACGATGACCTTCGGGGAAATGCTGGAAGTTCTCGGAGTAACAAAGGTTATGTGGCTCTTTGCTGGTTTTTGCTGGCTAGCTGGAATTTTTTGCGCTCTTCTCGTAAAGGATACTCGTGGTCATAGTCTGGCTAAAATACAAGAGAGTTTTGGCATCGAAGAATAGACGAGTTGAAATGGATAGCGAAGAGTGAACCTGAAATATCGGATGAAATACATGAAGTCACAGATGCAAGTCAAAGATGCAAATCTTCTGCCAATTTTTTAGAAAAGTTTGTCGGAAAATAAATATTTTCTGATACGATAATTTAGTAATCTTCAAATCATTTTTTGCAAGATAAAACAATTGGTTTTGCTTCCAAAAAATCAATTGTTTCATCTTGCGATTTAATGTAAATAAAAAACTATTTAAATTTTCTTAAAAAGAACTAGACGCAAAAATTGATTTTAAAAATCAGGCAAATAAACACATGGTATTTTACGAGTCAACTCGTATATCCGTAATAGACACTGTTGCGACGAAATTGTTCATAAAAGTCTCAATTCAAACAAATCAATCAACACTGAAGTTATATCACATACAAGACACTCGCGAAGACGTAATACTAAATAATAATCTCAATACTTTATAAATTTGTCGATTTAGCCATCAGTCATCAAACAAAAATACGACGATCTAGCAAGAAAATATATTATCTCTGCAATCGCCAAATTATATATATATACATATATATATATATATATATATATATTGGATGTATCCACGTCAGCTGGCGCTCTGCCAGAAAGTGGAAGTTCGCTGTCGTATTTTGTTCTGAGCTGAAATATTGTTAACAGATGTACTTGCGCGACAGTTTTCTCTCTCGTCTAGCTTTTTGACAAAAATAACACGACTGCAAAAGATATTGGCAAAATCAAAGAATAATTTAAGGATTATTGACTTATATGCTTTATTGACAATGCATTATCGAACTTGTCGTCATTTCACAAAAATATAAACCATGTATCTTGAAAAAGTATGGTTATTATAAATTGCAAAGATTAAAAATTTAATGCGGATTAAATGTAAATGTCATATTGAAAAAAATCTGGTTGTATAAATTAAAAAATGGTAATTTAACCAATCAATCTGTCCAAAAAAGAACAAATTAAAATTCTGGTAAAAAATATCTCATTATTGTAGTACTTCTTTTGATATTGAATTTATTTAACTTTTTAATTATGTAATTTAATTTAATTATTAATTAAATAATTAAATAATTAATTTATTAATTATTTAAACTATGTAAATTAACAACAAAAGTATTTTATGTACTAATTTTTAATAAAATACGTTTGATTGTTTAATATATTTTATTTTAAGAGTGTTCTCCTTAATCGAAATTGCCTAAACAATTTAACTGATAAACACTATTTTCGAAAAAATAGCAAAAATCTTTAAAAATTACAAATATTGGAATTTTTCCTGATTTTTCGAAATGAGTGCTTATTAATTTTGTAAATATTAATATTTTAAAATCAAAATAGTGTGCAAACAACCAAAAATGCGGTTTTTTGAAAAAAAATCGTAAGCCCGTTTCATTTGTCAGAGATAGCTGGTCGTTTGTTAAAGGCAATGGGATGCCGGAGCGTTGGCCAAACTCCGACGGATTAGCGCCCTCATCTAAGCGGAACTAAAATTGTCGATAATTATCGATAATTTTAATTTAGCTATTATCGGCAGTTTCCATATATTAAAAATTTACATGCATGTCAAAAAAACAATTTTATTGTGTTTAACATATTATATTTTTTTAGACAACATAATATATTCTTACTGTTAAATCATCTCGCAGACGCGTTTTTATCTAAGCGTGTCAATGACAATAAAACATACATGCATAATTGTGTCTATCTTTATCACATAATTTGAACACAATAATATATATATATATATATATATATATATATATATTTGTTTTTTTGCTTATATATTTACATGCAATTCTTATATACGAGGTGTGATCAAAAAGTAAGGTGACTTTTTGAATTTCGCGCGCTCTGTACACTCTAATGTCAAAATGTTTGTTTGGTTGTGTTGGTACACTCGTCACGATCATATGTTCACAGTGTTGACTATATAGCATGTGTTGTTTTTATGTGAGAGGCATAAAGGTTAGACTCGTGTTTGCGTACTCGGCGATTTTTTGCTGTTGAAAATAATGGAGCAGAGAGTTTGTATTAATTTTTGTGTAAAAAATGGTATTAAGTGTTCAAAAACTCTTGAAATGTTGACAGTGGCGTACAGTGAGTCAACTTTGAGCAAAAAAAATGTTTATAAATGGTATAAGTTATTCTAAGAGGGCCTAGAAAATGTTAACGATGAACCTCGCTCTGGACGCCCCAGCACGTCAAAAACCGACGAAAATGTTCAGGAAGTGAAAGAAATTGTGTTAAAATCGTGATTCGACGATTGTGTGTGTATGAATATAATTACTTATCCTTCACATATGTGTATGAATATATTTACTGAGCATTCATATGTGTGTGTATAAATATATTTGCTGAGTGTTCTAAATAAAACGTTGCAATTTTTATTTCTAAAAGTATAATTTGTAGAAAATAATGCTGCAAATAAAAGTTCCAGTATTTCAACAGAGATATACATACTTTGATGTTACAGAAATGTTCGTAGAAGGCAATTTTCAATATCATTAGTCAACTTGATTATTTAATATTGATTAGTCTAATAATAAGTATTTATGTAAATTGATTCCTTGTAACATATTCTGCATACAGGGTGACAAAGTCAATAATTGAACGGTTTACGAGATATTTTACATAATCTAACATTATATATATATATATATATATTGTGACGACTTTTCTCGCCCCTGGAGCACTGAAGTGGCGAGTAGAGGTCGTTGTCAAAAAAAGGGAAAGAGTTATATTATTCCTTAAAAACTCTTACGCGGGAACTGAGGTTGATGGTCGCTCCGCGCATGCCGTAGCAGAACGCCAGCCGACGGACGCGCTAAATTCCCTAATTTTTAGGCGCCAGACGCGGTCTTTCACGCGTCAATTCGCGACACACTAACTAGCACGAATATCCGGCCGGAAGTTCCGCAACGGGCCGGCTGCTCACCTAACGGTAGAGGAGCAGGATGTGGTTGCCGCGAAAGAGATAATAAAACGTAGACTCGAAGTAGACGCGAGATTTCTAATTTTTGATCACCCGTTATTGAGGCGTGACAACTCAAAGAAATAACAGATAATACAGACGCGAACGTATCATGTAAAATATCTCCGATTTATTACAGAAAAAAATAAGAAAAGTAATACAGAACACAATATGAAGTAAATCGAATAACTGTCGGATTACAAAAGAAAATATTAACAAAAATATAATTTCGATAAGTAGGCAATTAGAAAATTTCTCGTGTACTCGGCGTTACAAAATAATACAAAAAAAGGTTAATACAAAACGAAGTGGTTCACTGCAATATTTGCAGAGTGACAGATAGTTATGGTATAAAGCGAACAGACGTCGCTAAGAGTTCGACATAGACGACATATAATGATACTCGAAATACCGCGATAATCTCGACTCGCGAAATAACTTAAACTTTGCACATGTCGGATACACGACAACTCGATAACGTTCTACACGCCAGAAAGAGAGCGGAACAATTAATTCGGCAATCGCGATCGTCAGGACTTAGATTCGAAAGATTCTCAGAGATACTCAGAGAGCACAAGTATCGCCGCAACATGATATAAGTCGATATGTAACGCGAATACGCCAGCGACCGCCAGTTCACGACTATCGCCGTCTCGCTCGCTCTCGCGCGCGCACACGCTCTCTGTCTTTGTCGCTTTCGCGCTCTCGCACACGGTCTCGTTAAATCTTCACTCTCCCTCTCCCTTGCTTATACGCGACAATCGAACTATGAAACGAACAATCGCACTGTTTCCGCGATTCGCTCTATTCACTCACACACGCATGACTCGACATGCTCGCTAAAACGCAATTATACAAACACGAAAAGAAGCGCGACAAAAAGTGAGACGGCGCGACGACTATAAACCCCAGAGAGACTTAAATCGCGAAGATAACGACGACGCGTACAGATTCTCGAAATTTCTCGCCGCTTGACCACGATCGCTCTCGCGAAATCACAAACTCGAAATTATTTCCGATAACGGGCTTAGCCCGTACGCTATCGAAAGACACTAAATTACGCGATTGCGCCAGCACGGTCGAGATTCGGAATTTACTAACATGCGGACGTGTTATTTGCGTGACGAAGGAAGGGTAGCCTCACCGAATGAAAATCCTCTCTCTGTCCTCGGGCCTCCACCTCGGATCGTTAGTCAGCTTCGACTTATTTTCTCTCTCTCTTTCTCGTGACGCGTCGTGTCTGAGCCAGCGGTCGCGCCAATCTGCCGTGTCTGCCGACTCACTATCGGCAGCCGGGCAAATTCGACAAGTCAGGGGTGGGATTCGCGACAGCCAATTATGGCTTTCCGCGTCTTTCCCGATTTTTGAAATTAGTACGGACATGTGTGGGGTACTTTCGGTACCCCTCGCGATAACCAATTTTTATACATGGATCTCGCTGCGGAGGAGCGCTACTGCGAGGTTTTTGCGACCTCGGATGGTGACCTCTTTATTCTACGTCGGCTGACGGGGTTCTGGCGAGGAGGGAGCAGGGTAACGGTGATTATCCGCGGATCTTTGGGGCCCTTCTTGGCGCCTGTTGATGAGCGCGCTCCTGCGGCTCTCTCCCCGCGGCCGTTGGTGTGCTGCCTCCTCTAGGGCCACGTGTTCCATGCGTGTTTTCGCCGCTTGCTGATTTTTGGTTTTTCTTTTCGATAATCCCTTAAATCAATATTCTCGCAGCAAGGCTCCCGCAAGGCATAAAAAATAAAAATAAAACGCGTTAATAATAATGTCTTTCGCGCCGCTAAGTCTCTCGGGGTACGCTCTCGCTCTCTCTCTCTCTCTCTTGCTCGCTCTCTTGGCGCGGCCGCTCGGCTTTACGGCCCCGCGTCGGGGAGTGACGGGCGTCGGGACGACCACGTCACATCATATATATATTATATATAAGAAGAATAGAGATGTAATAAATATGTACCGGATGTTTCAATAAGCGTTACAAATTTTTATCGCTAAAAATGTTTGTAGAAAAAAATGTTTCAAATAAAAGTTTTAGTATCTCAAGGGAGGCATAGTTGATGTCATAGAAATGTTTGTAAGAGGCAATTTTCAAG